GCAATTAGAAATGAAAGACACAAACCACTGTAGTAGGTTATTTGGTTGTCTGATAGTCTGTGCTGCTTCACAGCCATTGTCATAACTAAGCCATATTTTTCCACTGTAGTGACATTGTAACACAGACACACACACAGATTTGTAGCATCTGTGCCAGAATTTTTTATGAACATTTGTATATACCAGTATAGAAAATTCACAAATCTTCCAGCAGGCATGTTAACCTCGCACAATGTGAGGTTTTGGATTCTTTTGTAGAAATCTCATGACTCTGTATTCTGGAAACGTATCTGTAAATGTGTTGGGTGGTTTTTGGTTTGGTTTTGTGTTTTGTTTTGTGTTTTCCTCCCTCTCATTTTCTGTAATGAGGGAAATGTGTGGCTTATAGATTGTCTTTTCAGTCTGTACTTTTTTTGCCCAGGATGTGAAATGTGTTCTTGTGTGCAGTGGAAGTCACCCCCACCCTAGAGTGAGGTTTGTGCAAGGTGACTGTGGGCTGTGAAAACTTCTGCAGCTGCTGTCTCCTGTTGGCTGGGTAAATATTAGAAGCCATGGAAATGCGTCTATTGAAGAATGGTGAATATTCACATTGTGCCACTATTGTTTAGACCCAGAATAGGCCCTGATTTAGTGAAGAACTTTAGACTTAAACACATCCTGATTCGTTGAAACTATGAAATACTCAGTTTAGTTAAAATGATTTCAGTATTCTGAATTGTGGCCTTCAATACTTAGGTGTTTCTTCTGAATAAATTTATTTGGAGGACTTAAAATTTGGTCTTGAAGAGTTCACTGCATTTAATTTTGTAGACTGTTAAAAAAAAATGCGATCATTACTTTTTATCCTTTTTAAAATAGTATATTCAATGCTCAGTCCTGTTTTGATTGGAAAGAATACCTCTGCACAGACAGATTCCTCCAAAATCACAGGTCTGAGGTTACGGAAAGGTTTTATGTGAGAATATTTATATTTTTAACCACATCCTTACATTTCATATCTCCGTATACTTTTTCAAACAATGGATGTGTATTTATAGTGTAAATATTCTCACTGAAGCAAACACAATGTGCTGTGCTACTAACATGTACAATATATAGCGTCTCATGTCCACTTAGATTAGAATGCACAGCTTTTGACACTGCTCAGAGATGACAGTATATCTATGGGGAAGCATTGGCATCCAGAAGGCACATTTTATAAGGAAAAAAATATTAGCAAGACCTAATAAGAAACACAAACTGCTGCCCCTAATTTCTAGTTGCCTGCAATTTGAAGCTTTCCTCATTTCCCACCCTGCATTTGCCCGAGTCTGTGCATGCACAAATGAGAAGGAAAAGCTACACGATATTCTGTAATTTCTTCTGCTTCTGCTATAGTTGTGGGTTTGTTTTTTTGAGGAGCATCGCTGCTTATATCTGCTCTTATTACTGTTGTGTGGTTTCAGGACATGTGTAAACCAGCAGTGTCTATGCAGATGCAGGAATATCTGGAGGAGACTGATGAGAGTTTCTCAGTCACAGAAAGATGCACTGTCTGAAATCTGTCTAGCTGTTGACCTACCTATTATAATTTAGGGGGAGAATCTGAACATCTCACGCTTTCATTGGACATAGAATAGTATTACTTGTCTCTGCTAGTAATTGTAATACAAATATTTCTGCTATATTTAAAATTGTAAAGCTTACTTATTTGTCAAATTTCTGTGAGGATTTTAGTAAAACAATCATGCTTTTAGAAATTAACATTCTTCATTTTGTATGCTTCTGAATTAGCTCTAATAGAAACCTTTTCAGTCAGAGAATTGCACTGACCTTGCAAAATACCATATGTTGAGTGTGCCTCTATTCATCCTATAAACATTAGTGGTCTTGAATGAAAAGGTGTTGTGTGTATCCTATGGTAACTAAAGGAGTTAAATAAAATCTTTTTGCTTGCAGTGATAGAAAGAAAACATTTCAGGTAAATTACTGTCTTTTTAGTTAAGAAGCATTATTTCTTTGAGTTATTTCAGGTAGCAACTGTACAGACGTGGGTGTGCACGTTGTGTAAATTCAGGTTTTTTTTTAGAATCCAGCTTAAATTCTGAAGTCATAGGGAATCAACATCCTGACCAATTGTACATTCTTAACTCTTATATTGCAGTATATATCGGTATGGGAATGAACTCAGACATGTAGTAGTCTCAGCAGAACCTAGGACTAGGAAAGTAAGCGAAAGATGAATATTTCACCCTAAACACTTAGTTTCATTTCTTTGACAGTTTAACACCAACCTTTCATATAGTTTTAACATTTCTTGTTTAGTTTAGCTCCTTTTATTTTTATGGTAAAGTGCAAAAGTATGAGAATAGAGAAGGCACACTGTCAGAAATAAATAAAGGAAAATAAAAGATAGGGCACTGGCTCAATTAGAGTCTCTACTTAAGCAGATGTTTAGATGGTTATATATAGCAATTCTATAAGTGTATATTTATGCAATTTAGAATTAAATAAAGAGACGTAAACAGATAATTCATATAGATTCTTACAAAATGCTGTATCAACTATAGCAACATTCAGCATCTTATAAGAGTTTCTTACATCTATTTATTAAAAATATTGGGATGTGAAAATTAAAGAAAATTGGCATAGTTCCACTGAGGTTAGTAAGAAGATAGCTGTTGATGAACGCTCAGAATGCGGGCCCCCTCAGTTTTCAGGTTCTACTGGGTGACTGTCTGCTGATCATTACTACGTTTCATTGTTTGTTTGTTTGGTTTTTTTTTTTAATAAAAATGCCAGATAGTAACTGTCCATCTTTATGCATTATTTCAAAGTAATTTCAATCAGAAACCATATTCTTCAGTAACTGTTCTCTACTTTTCTGAAACTTAAATATATATATTATTTTTTGCTGTTAGAAATGACTGAAAACAGGTGTGTTTAGTGAGAAGGCTAAGAGATCTGAGACTGGCTGTGGGAGTGAATTGTACATGCACACCTAGAGTTCAGAACTGCAGCAGTACTACCAAGCTACACACCCACAGAGTGTTTCAGCAGCAGCATTACTGCGAGACTGGGAAGCTGACGGACTTCTTAGTTCTTCCACTATCCCTGTATTTTTATTCTTTATGGACTAAGTGTGTTTTAAAGAATATTTTTTTCCTGGTTTTATAATGCTTTTCTAGCGTCTTCCTGGCCTTTGGCTCCAGGATGATTTCTGCGGTGACTTCTACTGTGTGTGGTACTCACCAGTCCTTTTAAATGTATTAGAAGACACCTGAGGCTGATGGATCTCTAAGGAATTGGGCCCTGCTTAACACTTTTTTAAAAAATGAGTGATCAAATTATCTTCTGAAAAAATATAACACATGGAGGAGAGATGAAAGATGCCCTGGGCATCTTAAGGTTCAGCACTACCCCAGCAGTAGATGGACTACTTTCCTACTTGATCTTAAAAGATGAGGCTGAAGTAGTTAAGGGCTGCATTAAAACTGAATTACAAAGGTGAATACAGAATGCAGTACTAGCTGTAATACTGTTACTTCTCTAAATAACCCAAAAGTTTCAAGAAGTGTTCATATTACAGTAAGAGAAGATTATTTTTATTTTTCAGAAAACAAATGTCAGAATACATTAACAACTGTGTAAAAAAAAAGCTGGACTTGTACTTGGTCTGCCACCACTGAAAAAGACCTTGGCTGTGTTAACACAATAATACACGTTTTCTTCACATCACATAGGAGCAGAAGTGCCTCTTTTTTCTGACTTTCTTTCAGTATTGTACCATGAAAGGAGATAGACCACATTTCAGCATCACTTGCTGCACAGTTCACCTGACAAAGAGGCAGTTTATTATTTGATTACCGAAAATTGTTCACCATCCATGTTTCCTACCTTGACATGCTTATAAATGCTATACACTCCATTATTATAGTGTTTTTTTTAAGCTGCTTTTGCAAAATTGGAGGAAAATGTGTGCAGGCATGTTTTCTGCTTTGCAATGAAAGTGTACATTTATCACTTAGGTACATGTAAGCCACTTCTGTGAGTTGGGCCCTTGGAGTAAATGTGTTTTGATGTAATGGCCATCTGCTCATGAATTTTTCTCATTTAAAAAATAGTTTGATATAGATAAACACATAGTTTGGTAAGATTATGTACTTTCACCAGGTAGCAGTACAATAGCAAAGTTTTAGATTTACCATAAGCCAATAACCAAGCTGGGATGGAGGCTTCAAGTTTTGTTTTGTTTTGTTTTGTTTCTTTTAAAAATTAATCTCTGTCATTTACTTCTAGTGTCTGACTGCTGTTTTCAAAATGGTAAATGCAGGACCCTTGTCAGACTGTAAGAGGAGGGGAGGTACATCCTGGCCATTTCAGAAAACGGTCACAGTCTTGCTTCTCTTTTCACCATGTAAAAATGAAAGCTGTTCTTGCTCCCAGGTGGACCCAATAGAGCCAGCCACCAGGAGACCCTGGAACAGCTCACCTGACACACTTGCCCCATGTACCTCCATTACAGTCAGGTGTCAGTAATGATCCTTGAAGCTGTAGCTAAAGCCATTTTTCCAGAAAAGACGGTGCTGATGAGATGGGGTGGGTCAAGGCAGTGGTTCTGAGCACCTGGGTCTGAGGGTGCAGGTCAGCAGCAACGTGTGGCGCGTACGTAGAGCGGTACATACAGCTCAGTGCCAGGCCATTTTTGAAGCTGATAAAAACTGGTTTAATAGGCTCTTTGATATTGATATTAACGGTATCTACTGTGGCCGTAGCACATATTTTACTGCTGAAGTCCAACTTTTTTCTTAGGTAGCAGTGATATCAAACTGTAACCAGGACAGAGTATGTGGATTTATAGGCAGAATGTGCGAGTGATGGTGAGTTTGGTTTCTGGATGTATCTCCAGAGTTTGTCTTTATGGTTACTGCTTTTAGTACAGAAGACAGCAATGATGTAAAATGTGCGTGTTCGATAACTTTGTCTTGTTTTTCGCCCCTGTCTCCCCTCCTGTATTTTAGCATATGTTCCTGAGGAGGAATTGAAAGCAGCAGAAATAGATGAAGACAGCGTGGAAGATGATGGGCTGTCTCTGGACATCCAGGAGAATGAGTATCTGTGCAATGAAGAAGCGGAGATCAAAGAGGCTCAGAGCTACCAGAACTCCCCAGTCAGCACTGCAACTAATCAGGATGCAGGCTATGGTTCGCCGTTTAGTGAAAACAGCGATCAACTGGCCCATTTCAAAAGCACTTCCTCTAAAGAAGAGAAAGAGGATCCTCAGTGCACAGACAATGTTTCCTATCCACAGGACAGCTTGGCACAAATAAAAGCTGTGTATGCAAATTTGCTTTCAGAGACTTGCTGGTCCAGTTTAGCTTTGGACTTAAAGAAATCCAATCCAACCACCAGCAACAACGGAGTCAGCCAGAATGAGAACACCACCAGTACCGACACCAACGCCAATCCCCAGAGTACTAGCACCACCAGTACCAACACGAGTACCAGTACAACTACCAGTAGTACCAGTAACAGTAATAGTAACAGTGGCGGCTCAGGTTATGACTGGCACCAAGCTGCATTAGCTAAGACTCTGCAGCAGACCTCGTCGTATGGACTTCTCCCAGAGCCTAGTCTTTTCAGCACAGTGCAGCTTTACCGGCAGAACAACAAGCTCTACGGGTCTGTGTTCACCGGGGCCAGCAAGTTCCGATGCAAAGACTGCAGTGCAGCCTATGACACGCTGGTGGAGCTAACAGTGCACATGAATGAAACTGGACATTACCGTGATGACAACAGAGATAAGGAAGCTGATAAGACCAAACGGTGGTCAAAGCCTAGGAAAAGATCACTTATGGAAATGGAAGGCAAAGAGGATGCCCAGAAAGTGCTGAAGTGCATGTACTGTGGGCATTCGTTTGAGTCTTTGCAAGACCTCAGCGTCCATATGATAAAAACAAAGCATTACCAGAAAGTGCCTCTGAAGGAGCCAGTACCAGCCATCACTAAATTGGTCCCTTCTACCAAAAAACGAGCACTTCAGGACTTAGCTTCACCTTGTTCACCTGAGCCAACAGGGATCACTGCAGAAGCCTCACTGGGTGAGTCTGCAAAGGATCAGAAAACTGCCAACCCGTATGTGACCCCAAACAACCGCTACGGCTATCAAAATGGTGCTAGCTACACTTGGCAGTTTGAGGCACGCAAAGCCCAAATACTGAAATGCATGGAATGTGGCAGTTCCCATGACACTTTGCAGCAGCTCACTGCTCACATGATGGTCACCGGTCATTTCTTGAAGGTGACCAATTCTGCTTCCAAAAAAGGCAAACAGCTAGTACTGGACCCTGTGGTGGAGGAAAAGATACAGTCTATACCTCTTCCACCCACCACCCACACAAGGCTACCAGCCTCCAACATTAAAAAGCAGCCCGATTCCCCAGTAGGCTCCACAAACTTGGAGGAGAAGAAAGACCTAGAGAAGGAAAAGGTAGTGGTCAGTGAAACAGAGAAAAAGATTAAAGAAGAGAATGAGGACTCTACGGAGAAATTTGAGCCAACAACTTTGTATCAGTACCTCAGAGAGGAGGACCTAGATGATAGTCCTAAAGGGGGAATAGACATACTGAAATCCCTGGAGAACACGGTGACAACGGCTATCAGCAAGGCTCAGAATGGGGCTCCTTCCTGGGGAGGCTATCCCAGTATTCATGCAGCTTACCAGCTCCCAGGGACAGTCAAACCCCTGCAGCCCGCGGTGCAGAGCGTCCAGATGCAGCCGTCGTACGCGAGCGGCGTAAAGTCCCTGTCCTCGGAACATAACGCCCTCATCCATTCTCCAGGCAGCCTCACGCCCCCACCTCACAAGAGCAACGTGTCTGCTATGGAAGAACTAGTGGAGAAGGTTACAGGTAAAATCAACGTGAAGAAGGAAGAAAAGCCTTTGGAGAAAGAGAAGAGTTCTCCAGTCAAGCCCATGTCACCTGCTGCTAAAGAAAACAAGGACTTCCCCAAAGCAGAAGAAGTAAACGACAAACAGCAGCAGAAGAAGAGCTCTGAGGCAGAAGTTCAGAAGGTCAAAAAGGACAGTCCAGCAGAAGCACATACGCCAAATGGTACAGAGCCACTTAAAACAAAGGTTGCAAATGGCTGTAACAACTTGGGGATCATCACCGATCATTCACCCGAGCCATCCTTTATTAATCCGCTGAGTGCGTTGCAGTCCATTATGAATACCCACCTAGGCAAAATTTCTAAGCCCGTGAGCCCCTCTCTGGACCCTTTGGCCATGCTGTACAAAATCAGCAACAGCATGTTGGACAAACCCATATACCCAACCACGCCGGTCAAGCAGGCAGATGCTATCGACCGGTATTACTATGAGAACAGTGATCAACCGATTGATCTAACCAAGTCCAAAAGCAAACCTCTGGTTTCCAGTGTGTCGGACTCTGCCTCGTCCCCGCTGCGGGAGAGTGCCCTGCTGGATATTTCCGATATGGTGAAGAACCTCACAGGGCGTTTGACACCCAAGTCTTCGACTCCATCCACTGTGTCAGAGAAGTCTGATGCTGATGGGAGCAGTTTTGAGGAAGCTCTGGACGAACTGTCACCAGTACACAAGAGGAAGGGCAGACAGTCCAACTGGAACCCTCAGCATCTTCTGATCCTTCAAGCCCAGTTTGCTTCCAGCTTGAGGGAGACCCCAGAAGGCAAATACATTATGTCGGACCTAGGTCCACAAGAGCGGGTACACATCTCTAAGTTTACTGGTCTTTCCATGACCACAATTAGCCACTGGCTGGCCAATGTGAAGTATCAGTTAAGGAGGACAGGTGGAACTAAATTTTTAAAGAACTTGGACACAGGACATCCTGTTTTCTTTTGCAATGATTGTGCCTCTCAGTTCAGGACTGCTTCTACATACATAAGTCACTTAGAGACACACCTAGGGTTTAGTTTGAAGGATCTGTCAAAGTTGCCACTTAATCAGATTCAAGAACAGCAGAATGTTTCAAAAGTCCTTGCAAACAAGACTTTGGGCTCGCTTGGAATTGCCGAGGAGGACTTAGGCTCCACATTCCAGTGTAAGCTCTGTAACCGAACTTTTGCAAGCAAGCATGCAGTCAAACTGCACCTTAGTAAAACACATGGCAAGTCCCCAGAGGACCATCTGATCTATGTAACTGAGTTAGAAAAACAATAGCGTCCAGGTAAGCAGCCAGGTATGCAAGTGACCACAGGAACATTGCACTATACTTCTTCATAGTACTGCACTAGGCCTGACCTGAGCCTCTGAAATCAGTCTTACTTTTGTTGCTGAACTGCCTATCTGGACCTTGGTTTTTCTTACACTTATTTTGTAGTTATATTTATATGCTCTTTGTCTGATCTGTGCATGGTTACTTTTTGTTTCTGTTTTTATTTTTTTGTGAGTTGGAGTCTGACCTTTATTTTCAACATCTGTCCTTGATGTTAAGCTATCTTTTGTAGAATATAGTGGGAGACACTATTGAGAGACATTAATTTAGCCGTAAAGAAAGACACAAAGAACAATGATAAAGAGACATCCTAAAATTACAAAGTTGCCATGACAATAAAGGTCACAGAACCTGGTAGTGTCAAGTTTTAACCCTCTGAGAACTGTAATAGCATTTCTGTGCCTTTCCCAGTGACTAAGTAAGTAAATAAGGAGAAACAAAGCAAAACAAAAGACTTAAAGGCATTTCATTCAAATAAAAACTGTGTCAGAAGCAGAACTTTTTTTTTTTTTAATGAATGAGCTTTTTTTTTTTTTAATGCAGAACTGATTTGTGAAGAAATTGTGCATGCAGTCCTTGGAAGAAGGAGAGCTGTGTAGTACTCAAGGGGTTAGGAAGCCACAACTATATAAGTTACATGGTAGTTTTAAATAAAGCGAACTAAGTTGCCACTATGCCCAAACCCTCTGGATGCTGAGAATTGCCACTTTTTGGCAAAAAAAAAAAAAAAAAAAAAAGTATGCAAGCTGTTATTTAAAACAAGTGTAAAAATGCTCATTTCTTTCCTTTTTTCTTTTTTTTTTTTTTTTTCCTGTAAAATACTGCAGTTTATAGTTATTTACAAATGTTAAGCTTTGGTACAAGCTGACCTTTCTATAGTGTGCTGCATTGGTAAATGAAAACAAAAAAAAATGGGGCAAATGTTGGATTCTGTTCCTTGTAAATTGCCAGCATCAGCTTAAAAAAATACATGTTACATATCGTACCATTTTAAACTGTTCAACTTTCTTTGTACCTTCTGGCTGTATGCTTTCTCTTTTAACTTTTTATATTGTCATTTTATATTCGATTTCTGTGTATATAATGTAAAACCACACTTTTTGAATAAAATTTAGTTCCTGCAGCTTGATATAAATAGAGGAATTTTACTGGCACCTGCATCTTTCCAGATGCATGTACTTAAAGGAACTATCTGACAAAAAATAAATAAATAAAAATAAAGCAAGCAATGCACTATGAATTATACATTTTGATGTTTTATCATTAATATTGTACAGTACATTTTGGTTCACACAATTAAATCCACTGTTTTCTCAAGTGTAAAATAAACCCACATGCAGTTCTTGATTTACATACATTGTCATGTCGTCATTATATTGCCTTTGAGGTGTTATTCCAGCAATAAGAGGCATCGTTTATATAATCAACCAGCAAAAATCCATTCAGAATCATCTCTGGTGATCTGCATGCCAACGTGTTTCGTTGGAAGCTGTAATACCAATAACCTCTTACACGAGATTTGCAGTGGGCATGGTTCAGAATCCGTGGGGCACCATCAGAGACGGGCATCCCGCTCCTCACTGAAGGACAAGAAGGGCTCCAAAGGTTTTGGCCAAGTCCATTTCCCCACGTACGTGCCTGTCATAGTTTTCCGTGTGCATTCAGAGACTGTGTCCTCCCTTCCTTCTCGGGCAGAGCCCCTTTCGGTCTCGCAGCTGCCTCGTCAGAGGCTGTGGCTCCTGCCCCTGTGGCACTTGCCTTTCTGGCAGCGGTGAAGACCTCTGAGGCTTTGACACTGGTTTTTACTTACAGTACAAGGTGGCAGATCTGTGTTTCTCTGTACTTTTTAAATATTGCATTTTGAGGTAAGCTGAGTGCTATCATATCAGGTGTTTCCCTTAATCTTTATTTCTGTTCTGTTGAATGCAGATGTCATTTAGAATGTAAAAGAGAGCTGTCAGAGCCTTCACTGCTCTATCTCCTGAGTGCTTTGACAGCTACAGTGTAGGAAAGCCTGGGATCTGCTATCCATTACACTTTTTGGAGGGGCGATTAAGTATGAGGACCTGGAGGGGTTTGCTTTCACGTGGTATTAGCAATACTGTTGTCTTGTATATACTCCTCTGTATGTGTGTATATTTCTGCTCCTTCTTCTCAGTTCTTCTGAAAGCAATTTGAATGTAAGACCTTTGCTTCCAAATGCTGCACGGTTCTACATTTAATCTGTACTTTAGCTGCAACCTCCCAAATGCCCATGCATTGTTCTGTTTTCTGCAAGAGCCTAGCAGGTCCAGGTCAGTTCCATTTACATAGTATTTCTAAGTAGCGTAGGAAAGTGCCATGAGGGTTTTTTTAAATGTCCCTTACTTTCTTCACTGCTAACTACCTGTGTCCTTCAGGGGATCTAGCCATTTAGACATTTCAGTTCAATTACTGGATGATTATGTACTTTGGGCCCAAGGGGTGGCGAGGAAGAGTAACAGTCAGGCCTACAGCTGAAATACAGTCTTTAAATAATAACCCTTTGAAGTTTTGTTTACTTTACCACAGGCCTGCAAACATGTGATTATAGAATATGCTGTATTGCATTGCAGTGGTGGGTGAAAAGGTTGAAAGGGAGAAATAATAGCTCTAAAGTGCATTTGAATCTAATGTAAATCCATTAAAACTCATTTTGAAACACGGCATGTAAAGTGAGTTCTCAACACCAGGTGACTCCCTCGAGAGGTGTTTATGACATTGCTAAATCCGTTCAGTTCTGATAGCTTCAGAATTGGACAATCACTCATCATCTCTGCCACTGTCTGAAGAAAGTCCATTTAGAATAAACTAGCAGCTTTACCTGGCAACTATGCTGATGTAACACTTTCTAAGACTGAAATACGAAGTAGATGAAAATTTGAGGGCTCTAACGTTTCACTTGCTTAACAAAATGAAGCGCAGTGACAGTATGATCTTTTTTTCCTTTGGATTTTTGACATTCTTGTTTGAATACAGTATTTCCAAAAAAAATGCTTTAAAAAAAAAATGGCACAATTTAAAACTGAGTTATTCTTTTCCTCAAAATTGATTTGCAGGTTTATTTCTTCATTTCAGTAAGATTTCCACAAAGGTAAGTTTGTGCTATTCTACTAGTAGCTACTTAAACTACTGCACAGAGGAGACCACACAGCCTTTCAGGACTGATCTTGGAGAGACAGATGTAAGAGCATTAAAACCTGTAGTAGTCTCTGTAAGCCTGTTATACCTATTTTGTAACATACTCAAAATCCATTGTATCCTATTCTTTTCAGAGATGTACAAAGCTACTTTTTTTTCAGCATTACATGGCTGCTATTTACACATTTGCTTGTGTCTGTTCCCAAAGAAGATCTTGGTGTGTCTTTCACGGGTTTGATTTCTGTGTCTGTGCACTTTTCCATATTGCCATTTTAAAGTTGATGCAAACCACTGAAAATTTGGGAGATCTCTCTACTGATGACACTAGTCTTGAATGAAATGATTTTTTTTTTTTTTTCTTAATAGCATTTGGTGGGATATTCACTAATGGCTTCTGCATCATAACTTTGTTATGGCTTTCTCTGGGTAGTTACGCTGGTCATAATGACACCAGACATAATCTGTCCTTGCCATGGAGGCCACTGATACGCAATTACAATTAAGTATAAAGGCATAAAGATATACGCATTGTCTTGCATTGGCTACTCATGGTACACTGCATCAGCTTCTGCCTGCAATTTCCAAAGCTATCTCAAACTTGAGGGTGCAATACTCTTGAAATAACATGGCAGGGGTCCTGGTGAGGAGACCTCCAAGAAGGAGCCCGCTTCCATGTGGAGTGTTCTTGCAGCTCTGTAGGGGTTGGTCTCCTGGCTGATGCAGGATTGAGTTATTCTCCCAGCATGAAAGTAGCAGGAAGTGGGATTCTACCATCTGTTCACTGAAATTTAAAAGCAGGGTTCTTTTATGTCCATTTTTGATAATAGAAAGCTAGCCCAAATTTACTGGCCAGATACTAATCTAGACAATATGATTCTTCCAAACTTTAATTTTTCCTGCTGTTCTAATTGAGTTTCTTCTCATAATGTTTCATGTGGCTTCGCATAGTTCCTCCTCACCACTATGTATAGGTTCCTTCATCCTAGAGTTCGTTGGAGTGACCACATTTTGGGATGCAAGTTGCTATTCTAAGTATAAGGTGATATCGTAGTTAAGTGAAAATATCAATACCCCAAACTGGGTGTGTTGTAAAGAAGGAGAACATTTTGCACGTCTATTTAGATGAAGCAGATTACCTGAGGTTAGTGTAATTTATCAAACGTGCTTCTTTATCCAGCACCTTCATTAGCGTTGTCTTTCTAACTAATGATATAACAGAGCTTATTTTAGAATAGTTTATCAGCAAGAGATCAGAACTGCAAACACTGATACATGGCTAAGGTACCTGTTTATTTTCAGACAACCAATATTAGGGGATGGTTTTGAAAGCTGTAGACCTTCCCACTGAGAATGAGAAGCTGCAGTTACACTGTTGTGTAAGGCACTTTTTTTTTTACACTCTTGAGTTCTGTCTAGTGATCTGCTGAATCAGGGTCAGCATGGTCAAAATGTGTCTGCCTAAGATTTTATCCTAACTACTGTAGTTGCTACCTTCTTTTCTTCTTCTTCTTCCCTGTAAAAAAAAACCATGACTTTTAAAAAATCAGTTAGCTATGGCCAGTTTGTCAAGATTTTTATGGTTTTTACTCCTGGATAAACTTCTTAGTGTAAAAATATGAGGGAGGATTACCTGTTAAAAAACATTCATTCTTTTTAAAGAAGTGTTTCTCTAACCAAATTGTTAAGGGCACAGTGGGTTGACCATCAGTACAGCAGAAGTCTGAAAAAAATTACTATAGTGTCAGTGTGCTGTACTTTTGTCCAGAGTGGTGGTTGTGTCAGCATTGTCTGAAGACACAGGTTGAAGCCTGACAGGTTCCTGACCAGGCTTGTCAGATGTAGGACACCTGCGGCTAAATGCCACGTGGTCACTGGAGGAAGGAGGGTTGGAGTCTGCTTGTCTGCAACCCATCTGCTCTTGTAGGAGTCCAGAGCTGATTGATTTGCTCACAACAGCATACATAATGAAATCTTAAGGGATAATAGGACACATTAGCCAAATCTAGGCCACCCTTCAGGGTCATGCAGGTCGAAGTCACCTCTCTTGGTACACATGACAATTTGTCCAAAGCTGCTTCCTTAGAGTGTGTGCAAACTGAAGCTTGGAGTTTGTCTGTGAAACACAAAAGTGGGGTAGTACCCATTGTTCCTACCCAAAAGATGATGCATGATGATGAAATCCACA